GGAGCCAACCCACCACCAGGTAGTGATCAGTTGACAGCTCCGCCCCTCTCTTCACCCGAGTGTCCAAGACATGCGGCCGCAAGTCCGATGACACGACTACAAAGTCAATCATCGAACTGCGGCCTAGGGTGTCCTGGTGCCAAGTGCACATATGAACACCCTTATGCCTGAACATGGTGTTCATTATGGACAATCCGTGACAAGCACAGAAGTCCAACAACAGAACACCACTCGGGTTCAGATCGGGGGGGCCGTTCCTCCCAATCACACCACTCCAGGTCTCACTGTCATTGCCCACGTGAGCATTGAAGTCCCCCAGCAGAACAAGAGAGTCCCCAGAATGAGTGCTCTCCAACACCCCTTCCAGGGTCTCTAAAAAGGGTGGGTACTCTGAACTGCCGCTCGGCGCATAAGTGCAAACAACAGTCAGGACCCGTCCCCCCACCTGAAGGCGAAGGCTTCCCTCTTGTCCACCCTGGTAAACCCCAATGTACAGGCGCCCAGCCAGGGGGCAATAAGTACGCCCACCCCCGCTCGGCGCCTCTCCCCGCAGGCAACTCCAGAGTGGAAGAGGGTCCAACCCCCTTCGAGGTGATTGGTTCCAGAGCCCAAGCTGTGCGTCGAGGTGAGCCCGACTATGTCTAGTCGGAACTTCACAACCTCGCGCACCAGCTCAGGCTCCTTCCCCATCAGAGATGTGACATTCCATGTCCGAAGAGCTAGCTTCTGCAGCCGAGGATCGGACCGCCAAGGTCCCCGCCTTTGGCCACTGCCCAGCTCACAACGCACCCAACCCCTATGGCCCCTCCTATGGGTGGTGAGCCCATTGGAGGGGGGACCCACGTGCCTTGTTCGTGCTGTGCCCGACCAGACCCCATAGGTATAGGCTTGGCCACCAGGCACTCGCCATCGAGCCCCACGCCCAGGCCTGGCTCCAGGGGGGAGGCCCGGTGACCCGCGTCGGGGCAAGGGAAAACATGTTTCCATATTGTTTTTCTTCATAAGGGGTCTTTTAAGCCGCACTTCATCAGGTTCCTCACCCAGGACCTGTTTGCCTTGGGTGACCCTACCAGGGGCATAAAGCCCCGGGCAACTTAGCTCCTGGGATCACTGGAACACGCAAACCCCTCCACCACGATAAGGTGTCGGCTCCAGGAGGTTTCAGTAATTTATAAATGCATTCATACGGTATTTATAAACAGGCAGAACACATTATAGCCATGTTTAAATGCATTATGACTGCATTATGAAGCTCTCATCAATAATGCACTATGAATATCTTTATAATGCAGTACAGATTATCCTTAATGCTTATACCAAACATTATAATATAATAAATAATACTTACTGTGACTTGCAAAAGTATTCAAGCTCGTTGAAATTCATGATGATAAATATATATTATCAGATTTTTTTACTTTTGCTTCACCACATTTTCAAATGCCAACATTGATGATACAATATGATACATGTTGTTTGCATAAATATTCATCTCCCATACTTTGGAAGCTCAGGGGGGTGTTCCACAAAGCAGAATTTCTGAGTTAGCTGGCTAACATAAGCTAGAAGTTATGACTATCCAATTGGAATGCCTCTTACCTAAACTCTTATTGGACAATCATTACTTCTAGCTTAAGTTAACCCAGCTAACTGAGAAATCCTGCTTTGAGGAACACCCCCCTGGTTTACACAAATGACAAATTATTCACAAACAACAAACATAATTAAACATAATTAGGTACTACTTAGTCTTGACGTTTCTTTCTGGATATAAAAAAATGCCCTTTGGAAGGGCCATTGTTTTTGTTGTACAATCACTACAAAAATGAAGACAAAGGAGCATTGTGTTCATGTGAGACACAAAATCATTTAAATGCTCAAGTCAGAAAAATTATTGAACAGTTTGCTCTGTTAAGCACTGTTGGATCCATCCTCAGAAGTGGAAGGTTCATCACGGCACCCAAACCCTTACTATAACATGCCGTCCCTCAAAACGTTCTTTGGTTGAAACTGGAGTGAAGGTGCATGGGTCCACAATTTAAAGAGCTCTCCATAAAACAAGCCTCTACGGGATTCATAATGCTTTTATGCTGCGTTCATAAAACGTTCAGTGCACCTTCATAATGCATTCATAGAACATTCATAAGCAGCATGGAAGTACACCTTGACATCCTAACATCCCTTCACAGCTTTAGTATATGGTATACAGTGATCCCCCTATCACGGAAGTTACGTTCCAGACCCATCAGCGATAGGTGAAAATCCGCGATATAGAAAGACCATATAAATAAAAAATTTTTTTTTAAATAGTTTAAGCCTTAAAACACCCCTCCCACATGCTTTAAAAGCAATAGGTGAAAATCCGCGATATAGAAAGACCATATAAATAGACATGTTTTTAAATTTTTTGCCTTAAATCGTAGGGCTTAAAACAAAACGTAAAGTTCACAAAAAGTTTGCTCACAACAATCGGACCTCAAGCAAGGTACGTGATACGTAGAGAACTGTGATTTGTTGGGGAAAAATCCGCGATATAGCGGAGGCGCGAAAGCTGAACCACGATATAGCGGGGGATCACTGTACATACAAGATGTTTATGAATGTTTTATGGATACAAGGTGCACTGAATGTTTTATGAATGCAATATGAAAGCATTATGAAGGTGCAGTTAATGTAAAGCATTGCCAAATATTTATACCCATGTTTATAATGCTTTATGAATGCATTAATATTTGTTATGAATGTGTTTATTAATTACTAAAAACATGGCCTTAAGTAAAGTGTTACTGTTTTTTTTTCCTTCTTCTGTAGAGTGCTATGTGAGACAGTGAAGGACTTTGTTGCTCGTGTTGGAAAAGCATATGAAAAAACTCCAGAGTATTCTGAGGAATCAGAGGCCATGGCCAAGAAGGTAAGGATTAATTTAATTAGTTGTTTTTCACAGGAGTAGGGGATTTCTTTATACATATATGATATTACATGCTATATGTAATATCATACATCCTGTAATCATATCATACATTGCTTTTTATTCTTCTTTTATTCGAAGAGCTATAGTATGCCTATGAACTGTACTCGTAAGTCTCCACATAAATAACCCTGCTATTAATTTTTATTTAATTCCCTCTAAATGCCATTTACTGAAGTGCGGATACCTAAAGTTTTACCTGGATTGTTATCGATTCTCTGTTGAAGATTCTCAAACTGAAGTGTGTGTTTTTTTTTAATCTCTGTTGTTTAATCTTATTGGTTTCTGATTTAGTGTTTATTATTGATACAGTGTGGAGTATTGAAGGAGAAGCTGGACTCGCTGCTCAAAACACTGAATGAGGAGGCACAAGCATCCACCATTCTGCCCAGCCTTTATCCCACAATTGCCGAAGAACAGGAAAAAGGGGAGGGGCTCATGATGACTTCCCCATGCATCCCTCCTACACCATGTTCTCCCCGAACCACCTCTACCATCTTTACTCCACGGGAGCAACTAATGTTGAGAGCCAACAGCCTGAAGAAAGCCATTCGACAGATTATTGAGCATACTGAAAAAGGTGAGCTATTTGTTAAACATGAAGGATGGTGACCATCATATAAAAAGCCCAGCAAAAGGATAGCTTCACAGTAGACAAATATTGCATGCATGGGCAAGTTTTACATTTATGCCCATAATGCTGACATTTACATTATTTGTAATTTTATGCAGTTTTAATACTTGGTAGGCTACCTTAACTTGTATAGATAGATAGATATATAGATAGATAGAGATATTTTAATTATCCAGAAGGAAATTTAGGTATAGGGCGTGCCCATGTGTTATAATGCATACCCACATACCAGAGGAGGTTTAGAGAGACCAATTCACAATTGCAGCATGGCTTTGGTCTGCGAGAAGAAACTGACATCACTCCAAAGACAGAGCTGGGAGTGGAAATTGATGCTAAAACCCAGACAATGTAAGGCTAGTGTGCTAGCTGCCAAGCCACTATGCTGCCAAATGAAATTGCCCTCTGTGTTTGCATATTTATATTCCCCTGGACTTTATGGAATACATATGGTTTTAGCACCAGTATGCTACTGCTGCTGCAGGTGCTTTACTTCTTCAGACAATAACTTTTTGAAACTTTGCAGAGGAATTGTATTGGTACTGATCTGGAACTCAATAAATTTGAGACCTGTTGGTCAAAATTGGAACAACGCTACATAGTGGCAGCAAATGGAAGGGTGAAGGCAGGTGACATTTGACCTTGTGAATGTAATAAGTCAAAAAGCATTTGATGGATTTTATTACTGTTTCACAAAATCACCACATGAAGGTAATAATAATCTATACTTTATTGATCCCCATGGGGAAATTGTCTTTACGCCTCCCTCAACTTGCTCTTTGTAGATTTACATATAGTAAACTGGTTAAATTTGCAGACGACACCAAGGTGGGTGGTGTAGCAGATACTAAATCTGCACAGAGTCTACAACGGGATCTTGATTGAGGCTAAGATCCTAAATTTGATTTGAACCAGTGACCTTCTGATTACAGGCACACAGGTTTAGCCCACTGAGCCACACACTGCCCCACTATCTACACCTGGTTTCATTTTCAGACAAATTTGCCCTAGAAATGAAGCAGCAGTACTGTGTGGCAGCAAAGGAAGGAAACAGCAGCTGTACAAAACACTTGATCTTCTGAACACAGTAACTCAAAAAGTGTGTTATGGATGTTTTTAAAACTTTGCAGGTACATTGTAGGAGTGACAAACTGAAAGTCATCAAACACTACGACTGGTAGTTTCAGACATTTAATCTAAAAAAGTATTTGGCAGATCTTTTTCAACATGTGCAGACATGTTGTTAGGGTGAAAATCTAGACCTGCTCAAATTTAGAAACAAATCACAGCAAAACTGAAGCAATGGTGCTTAGTGAAAGATGGATGAGATGATTAGAGGCTTATTCTTGTGAACAGGCTCAATCTATTTGTTATTATTGTATTTTCTCACATTGATATTTAATGGATCTTATTACCACTTCACAAGAACTTAATGTGGATGGAAATTGGCTCCTGAAAAGGTGCAATTAGAAATCACCTTAAAATTGTAACTGCAGTGACAAAGGGCAGCCAAGGGTGAAAAGAAAGGCTGCAGCCACTCTCTTACCATCTAGACATATTTTGTGGATCTTTCTGCTAACTTCCCAGGAACATTGCACACATAAATTATTCTTAAAATGTGGCATGCAAGATGATTTTCTAAATATTCTATAATAGCATTTATATTGTTTTTCGTCGTTTGTCTGCTCGGGAAATTGTACTGGTAGCTGTCTGGAAGCCGGTTCACGAAATGTATTGTGGGGGAATTTAATCGTGTCACATTTTTTGAAGAGGTGAGGAAAGTGTGAAGTAGGCTTGCAATAATGTTTTTGTTATACTGCGGTATTTTTGTTCAGCGAAACTTAGCATGGGCGATTAACATTATCATTTAACCCATTCAGCAGTGCTAATCTGCTAACAGCTGGTAATCTGGTGAACCTAATTGTTATTAAGACAAGTCTGAAGTGCTCCATGCGTACCGGATAAATAGTGTGTGGGGGTCAGATATATATTACATTATGGGGACCAAATGTCCCTACAATGTGATAATAACTTATTTTGATGTTGGGGGATCATTATTTGGTCTCTACAAGGGGAAACACTATTTTATAAAAAATTGTGACTACAATAAAACATGCCAAAAAACTAAACATACCATAAATCATAAGGAAATGAATGGATGATCCCCCACAAAGATGTAAATATAAAGTGTTTGTGTGTGTTGTGTGTGCTTGTGTGTGAGAGACAGAGAGAAAAAAGTGCTTTAGGGTTTCCGGATAAATGCCTTTCCAGTACACTTGAACCCCAAGGTTTTTCTCAACTGCATGTATATATACAG